AAAAAGAGGAGGGAAAAAGAAAAAAGAGGAGTTCTTCCTGAACTGACAGAGCAGGGACCCACTTTGGTGGGGGTAAAGGCATTAGCAGCAGCAGGTTACAACGCCACAGAAAACTGAACTTTTAGCAAGTGACCTCAGGACATTGATGAGGCAAGAGCCATACTATGAATTGAGACATTCAATAAAACCATCTCTTCTTTAAAAGGGTTCAAAATTTGAGGAGAAGATACACTAAAAGTAAACACATTCTAAGCATGTTTAGCTCTTTGGGTCTTCCTTCGAAAACAAGTACCAAAAATCTTACCCTATCTGTCATTTTATTGCTGATTCCAAGGAGCATCAACATGTTGTCGCATTCTGTGACCCCCATGGCATAAAGGTCACTTAGGACATTGGCACACGCTATCCGTCCCTGAAAAAGAAAGACACAAAAACATCTGCAAGACTGTTTGTGAACGTTCAGACAAACATCTGCCATGAACAAAACTTCAGCATGAGTCTGTGCTGAGACAGCTGCTTATTCCACAAGCTCCTGCGTTAAGAAATCCAGGCAAAGTTGGGGCATGATCCATTTTATGCCCATCTAGAAATGCAGGTACCTGTTCCCTTTACAGGTGAGGAGGGAATTCATCCCAGCTGTCTTGATCAATGTCCTCTCTCACTGACTACACAGGAATCCCACACTGAGTTTAGACTGGATGCCTAATTTTAGAGGCTGAGTTAAGCTTGACAAAGTCCAGCTTTGCCAACAAGCTCCGCTTACTTATCTGACATGTTCCTACTGACTTTATTCCAGCACAAAACTATACACACCGACAAAAACTACCATGGTATGTAATTCACAACTGCTAGGAAGCTAATCCAAAAATCCAACATTGCTGTACCTCTTCTGCATCGGAACTCGGAGACAGGCACTTTGACGAGAAAGCTGCTTGTTCCTCTAGAGCACCACCCTGGATGGAGGCCACATCTACACTCCTAAATTTTTTGGAGCGTATTCTTCTTCCTAGAGGACTGCCAGCATACAGGCACACTGGGGTGCTTTTTCCAGCAGGACGTCAATAAGAAGCTGTCTGCAGGAGACAGCAGGTGTGGGGGTTGAGGAGCTCAGGCTCCAGTGACAAGGTAAGGCTGAATTTGCTGCAGCGCTACATTTTTATTGACTTTTGTGTGCGTGAGCATCTCCACTAACAAAAATTTGTCCAAGAGACCTGGTCATCTGCTGAAGATTCCTCTGAGAAGTTGTGAAGCTGACAGGACTGAAAAGACATCACTTGGATGCATCACATGAGCTTAGCTATTCTAATTTTGCTAAATTAATGGATCCAAGTCAGGGTTTGTAGAGGTGTGGACCCAGCACAGATGAGATATCAAGTTTCCTGATGAAGCTGCAGACTTTTCTGATACAGGATGTGGCCTAAGGGACAGCAAGATAATTTTAAAACACGAGACAAATTCTGTTGTGTTACTCTGGAAGACTCCATGCATTTTAGTAAGATTGTTTGAGGTTTACAGAACTGTAACCAACATCTGGTTTTATGATTTTAAATCTGTGTTTTTTTCATAAAGTTCAGAGGTAACACCACCATGGTAAGAACAACAGGGTGCTTATTTGACAATTTGGACTACAGAAATGTACTTTAGATGGGAGACAGATTTGGCTGGGGGCAGGAAGGCACTTAAACACATTTCTACCATCCCCAAAACCTTACAGTCTAATCACATATCCAGGATTTTTGCAAAAATGAATATTATCAGGCAGTTACCTCACTTGCGGATGACACAAAATAACACCTACAATTAAATATAATCCAGTTTTGCATAAACTCGAGAGCTTCCAGTGGCATGAGGGGAATCTCTTATATTTGGAACTGGAATATGTTTTAATCATTTAAATCTTAAATTATTAAGAGAAGGGCGAGCTGTATACTGCATGGTTTGATGGCTATTGGCTGGTAAAACTTCTGGATGTTTAAGAACACTAAAGCCTGCTATTTTCTTTTTCTGGAAGGGAACTATCAAACCATTCTCCACTATCTTCAGTATTTACCAAGCAAACTGCTGGTTTATGCCCTCTTAGGAATGACAGATAAGTTTTTAAAACCACACTGACAACAGCTCTCTATTCTAGCAGTCAGAGGTCAGCCTAACACCATTTTTGCCAACTGGCAAAACCACTACGGAAACAAATTCAGGGAGTACAAGTCTCAAGCCTGAAGTAGCAGAGGGAACAACACATGGCTTGCAAATACCGACTGACAAACAGAGGTCAGCCTAGCTGGGTCCCACATGATACCTGCTATATACTCAGTCTCACTGAAACACAACAATCTACATGCAACACTAAGAGCTATTCACGAGGGCAAAGGACGCAGTATCAGACTCCTGTCCTCAGTCTTGAGTGAAAGTTCTTCTTAAAAGGGCTCAAAAAAGGTCCCTGGAATGGAGGGGGAAGGAAGTCTACTCTCAAACCAGCCAGTTTCCAGCTCCTGTATTCAAAAAAGCACCTCCAAAGTGCCACAAAGAAGGCCAGTACCAGTCCTATTACCTGTGGCTCAATACTTACTATGAAACCTATTTTCAATTGCTTGTAATTTTTCCAGTATCAAACCATTTAAGCTGAAAAGTCTTATGCTGGATACAGATTTTGCAGGTGTACATCAGACAACATGGACTGAGTGTTTTCAAGAACAAAGCTGAAGAAGAGGGGAAAGAGGAAAAGAAGGAAGAGGTTTTTTGCCTATAACTGCAGAACTTGATTTTAAAATAGGCAGTGACAGAATGAAAGCTGTTTTCTGAAGCAGAAACCTGAAGTTCAACCGAGTCCACATGCAGTTTTGCCTTCCCTAACCATTTTCTGATCCCTTCTGTGACAGCACCCAGCTCAGAGTTCGCTTGTACTTTTGGCTTTCCCTCCTTGCTTCCTCTCCCTCCAACTAGGAAGAGAGATCAGATAAGGACCTGCAAGTACACTGTGCACAGAGAAGCAAAGAGACTCTAAATCAAGGAACATGCACCCCAAAACAGGCTAAAATTGACCAGGTATGGAATCAGAGCAGAAGAGCAAGAAGCAGAGAGCGTACTGTGTTTAAGTGATCATGAGAACAGAGACTGGTAACGACAGGTGTGGGTCAGGGAGAATCTAGACTGAAAAACAGGGAAAAAACCAGCTGGAGAAACAGGGCAGCAGCAGCCTGTCTTGAACAAAGGAGCCCAGAACACACTCCTTTATACAGCCTGGTCACAAAATTCCTAAGTGTCACCATTCCTCTGCTCATAACAACTGTCGATAAACCCTGTGGCAAATTGTATTTATTTGACTGTCCTCCAGCTGTGTTGGTTCACCCAAGGAATCGGTAATCTATGTTGCTCCCAGGTACTCGAGTTCCCGAGAGAGAAGGGTCCAAGTAGAGGATCCAGCAGCTCCAGCCCTGCTGGATCCTCACTGCAGGTATTGGAAAGAAGGCTTGCAATAGAATCCCTGTTCTCACTCAGCTTTTAAGAAGAAATACACATCCCTAAACAGATTAGGAAGTGGCAAGCCACTACATTACAACGAATGTTGACAAGAATGAAAAGTGAAGGACTTGAGAGTTAGAAAATGCCGAAGTTACAGCGGCTGGTGCAGGAGGATCGCACTATAGACTGTAACTATGAACCACTAAAGTTGGACTAAGGCCAAATTTACATTCCACTCCTACCACACTGGCCTAAACCCCATCTGGGCACAGGCTCATCTATCTGCTCCTGCGGCATCTCAAACCCTTTGTATCTCCAAACAAAACACCCCCCCCATTCACCACAGCCTTCTCGCACTGTCTCTCACAAGTTTTTATTACAAGGTGAGAAAAGAGAGTTTCTCAGCTGATGAACTCCAACACAGCTCTCCAACAACATATATATTTTAATGTTTTTTTCTGCTCCCTGACAAGTTCCCACATGATAGGAAAGCAAGCCACTTGAATCAAATTTCTCAGGGAAGCTCAATAACTCTGTACTCCAGAGGCCAGCCTGAGATCTTGGCTGCTCAGTTTGCAGAAAGAGAGCTCTTCTGGAACAGAAATCAAAGGAGCTAGGTTTGCCTATGTGCACAACACCTGGTCAAGCGGGCTGAAAAAAAAATCAGGCGATCCCAATCTCAAACTGCGTGTCCAAAACCTACCCAACAGGTCTCACAGAACAAGCAACGAACCAACAACAGCAAATAAAGCATGCAATCCTATAAACAGCAGTAAAAGCATGCCTTAAAGCAAAGGAGTCATATTCAAATCACAGCAAACATGAATTCTAGCATTTCTTTCATTTAACAAACACCTCCTGTAGAATTCCTTACAGCTTTACTAAGTCCTTTTCTAAGGTTCATTTGTTTCCCCATGACCTTCTGTTCAATATCGATCACCTCCACACATAACACCACAGAGGAATCTCTACTGAGACGAACTAAACCAACTAGGGACACAGAAAGAAACGAAGAAGTCAAAGCATACGCCACTTCCAACAAGTCATTTCAACTTCTCCGTCTGCAAGCAGAGGTAGTACGACGGGAAAACTGTGTTCACAAAGCACTCTGAAGTTGCCAACTGCTGTCATTTAGGCATTTCCAGCTCTAACATGTTACCGAGTTATTTCAGAACCTCAGAAAAGGCCAATTACAATGTGGTTCTGCTCGTAAGCGGAGTTTATTGTCTACTGCTTTACAGACAGCTCTTTTTCCGTCCTTTTGGATTTTTCCAGCCACATCCCACAGAGCAACAGATGGAGGGAAATTTGAATTAAAAGTGGCAGTTGTCCCAACTTTCGCCTACAGAAAGCAGCACTGCAGCATTCCTGGCTGACATCGAAAAGATTACAGGACAAAACTACGCCTTTCCCACTTCTTCTTTAGGAAAGATTCTGAATGCAGTTAATCAAACAATTAGCACTGCACGTCTAGAAGAAATGGTCAAAATTGCCATCAGACCGGTAAGTGAGAAGCACAAATCAAATCAGCAATACAGCTAACAATTAAGTTTAGCCAACTTACCATCATATAAGGATCATCCACAATAGGATAAATATAATCTGTCGTCTGGACCAACGACAAACCACCATGTCTTAATGGAATAACACAAGTGTCCATCCCAATTCCTGCAAAGACAGAAATCCATCAGTGAGGTGAGTAGCTCTGCCCTTAATTATTGGTGCTCTTAACAAAAGAACTTATAAAACATGTCTGTGAAACACAATCCATAATACTGCTTAAACAGCCATGGCAAATTCCTTCCTTAGGGAAAGCACGTAACACAAATAAGAGGAAAACCAAGCAAAGAATGAAGACTCCTGACTGAAACAGAACAGAAAGGTAAAAGGCTGAAAGCAAGAACTAAACTACAATGTTCTATGATTTGTTGCAGCGCAATACAGTGCATTGCTCTGAAGAACATCTGTATTTGTATGTGTATGTAGTGATAGGACAAAGGGCAATGGCTTTAAGGAGAGTAGGCTTACATTGGATCTAAGAAATTCTTCACTCTGAGGGTGGTGAGGCACTGGACCAGGTTACTCAGAGAAGCTGTGGATGCCACATCCCTGGAAGTGTTAGAGGCCGGTTTGGATGAGGCTTGAGCAACCTGATCTAGTGGAAGATATCCCTGCTCATGGCAGGTGAGTTGGAGCTAGACAATCTTTGAGGTCCCTTTCAACCCAAACCGTTCTATGATTCTATGATTTAAAGTTAAGAGGAACTATGTAAACTGATATTGTCGAAAGCAAAGAGGTTTTCCTGTCACTCCCATCTCAACAAAACCAGTGAGAGTTTTGAAAGGACATACCTTCTCATAAAGGGCATTTCCTCACTTCAGGAGGAACAAAAAGAACACTACAAGTCACAGCCTAGGCCCTCGGTGATTCACTCACTTGGAGCTTCTGCAACAGTGCTAACCTCACCTTACTCCTGTGGGGCTGAAAGGCAGCAAGCCCATCTGCTGGGCAGGGAAACTCCTTCAAGAAAAACAAACCACCAAGCGCAGCCTCTTCCCTGAGGGTGGATATTTAAAGCAGAGTGAGCGATATTGAAACCTCCAGGCGTTTGCTGCGATGCACGAGCCCGCACGACACCGGCGGGTGACAAATCTCAACACGTCAGCCGAGCCGCGCTCCCTGCCAATATCCTCATGCCTTGTGGAAAGAGCAGGTAGCTGACCTCCTTCCTGGGCTGGCAGCAAGCTGCCTAGAATTACTGTCCATACCTCACAGGGTGAGCGTCTTCAAACGCCCAGTTTTCAGGGAGCAGATGCCACACAGTAACTTTTCCCCAGGTATTAACAAAACACACTACCCAGCAAGTGCTACTCGGTATTTGGCAGCATCCTGTACAGGGATGTAGTGAGCTGCTGTCGTCTGAGGTCCTACTGAGGACACAGAGCTGAAGGTCTGCCAGGCAGTAGGTATATAGGTAGAGATCTTGTCTCTCCTGCCTACAGAGGCAGATCTTGCCTCAGAAGAGAAAGGATACTGACAGAAGCTCATCGGCAGTAATCTAGGGTTGCTCATCCTCTGCAGAAGCTACCAAACTACAATGCATATGTTCAGCGTCTCTAGGAAGTGCATCTAAGCAGTTATGGAGAAGTGGCTCATGTATAGGAGCTGCTTTGCCCTCAGTTCACCTATTCACGTCATGATGCTGCAAAACCGATTCAACTCGTGTGATTTTCCACAGCTTCAGCAAAAGTGCTGCTTAACAGACAGACCAAGGGGCCACAATGGTCCTTCTGAGGCTACGTTTCTGTTCCATCAAAAAAGGACTGACTAAATAAGTGAATCCGTTCAGAGAGGTGACTGAAAACAGTGCCTTCGAGGTCCATAACACCTCTGAGAATTAGAACTTGCAGTTTCTTACTCACGGATATACTCACAGCCATATTTAAGACTGCTCTGGGTAACACTCTTAGCGAACTAAAAAAGAGTGAGGTTGAGCCTGCTATTGGCAATTTCCCTCCTGACCATATCTCAAAAGCACGGTGCATGTGCACAGCCTGTAAAGTTACCTGTCTATCCCTTTTAAGCACAAAGCATCAGAGGCAAACAACACTAAACTTATCTAAAGACACATTTGTGAAAGGGATACTCACCACAGCAGCATATTTTTAAGAGACCTGAACTCTCCATCTTCTATTACTAACAGATTTCCTGTTACATAATATCACACCTACATATTGATGGCATTAGTCTGCTTTTTTACTTTTTCATATAGCTGGAGAAGAAAAATCTATTAGCAGTTCCATTACTGTTAAGAGCCTGCAAGTTTATAAGAAAAAAAAAAAAAACAAAAAACAAACAGCTAGATAATTAAATCTAAACCAAACTATTACTGATTTTAGAAATTTGCCAAATTGAAAGGCTGTTGTGAATAACTTAATCTAATTTAGAAAAAAAAAAAAACAAATAACAATTTGGGCATAAAAGAAGCTGGAAGTGTCCCTCATCGGGGAATATTCAATTATAGTGCCACCCCAGCTTCACACACAATTGCTGCTTAGATATTTCATACAAAGATCACCATTGTTTGAGCAAGAACACGAGCTCTTTACTAATCTCTCTCTGAATTCAATCTCTACCAGAATAATGGGTTGCAACCTGTTAGCCTGCTAATAGACAATTAGCAATGTTAAAAGTATTTTAAATAAGATTATAGGACATGAAATTGATAATTAAATAACTTCAGAATAAATACTACATTGATATTCTTAAGTTGAAGAATAAAAATTTGTTCTGCGCTACAAAGTAGAGATTGAATATGCAGGGCTGAGTAAATAGACAAACAGAATTAAAAGTGTCATTAAGCACATTATCTACATCCATTTATCTAGATCAATATTAGGTACAGTAGCTGGTATCAAAATACCTACGTTCGCCCTCTTCCCCACTGCAGGTGGCTTGTGCAGGTTGTTTTTGCTTATTGCTTGCATCATCATGCAAATACCAAAGAGAAAGTGAAGCTGACAAGAACACAGAGGTCTTGGAAAGACAGCCTTTCCCAGGCAGCTTCTACAGGTGAGCAAAAAAGAGTGGGGAACAACGAAAGGGCTGAACGGAAAAATGGCAACTGTGAAACAATCCGCTCCCAGCCTCAGCTGAAGCGAGAAAGTTTTCTCTTGCTCACTTTCTCTGACCCAGGAACGGAGGGGAGGGAGAGAGAACCTTCACCCGTGAGTCACCTAATTGCATACAATTCATCGCATTCATTGCGTAAATCTCCAGAGGCAATGTGTTAATATAAAAGTCCAGAAATTAAGTGATACAACTTCAGTTTGCAAAGCATCTACCGGGGAAAGGGAGGAGGAGACAAACACCTAAGCACGTGCCTATCATGATGGCCATTCCTGACCTTTTTTTTGTTTGTAGTTGAGCACACTGCAGGATGTCAAATAACTAAAATAATATTCTTGTACCCCAGATGCCAACAAATGGCAACACGAGATTCATTCTTCAGATTTCTGGACACTGTGCGTGCATTGTACCACGTACAATCTTCAAACAGATTAAACAAACCGCAAAGGAGATTGCGTCACTAAGCCGACCAAACAGAAGGACCACACATGTCTAGAGGAGTAACTACTTACCCAACCTGGGCATAACCGCCCCCAGGAACTGTTCATCTTCCTGAAAATGGTTTTCTTGTAGAGATTCAAGCAGTTTCTGTAAGACATCTTGCGGCACTTTGCAGCCTGTGCCTTTCAGTTCAGTGAATCGGGTCAGACGGAAGCTCTTGTCCAATTCGTAACTTTCCGGGTTAAACGACTCCCGAACAGACATGGTTCTCTCGCGCGGACTGCTGGCCTTTCCCACCCCAGAGCAACAGTATCAGTTTCTCCACTGATCAATCTAATGAAAATAAATAAAATTTGGAACATCAGAAATTCCTAGGACCTCTAAGACAACAGGTTTTCCACATGGAGTAAGTTAAAAAGAAAGAGAAAGCACTCGATGTCGTTATTCACTTGTTAAGACAGGTGGGCACACCTCACACAACTCAATTCTCCAAGATTACAAAGGAAAGTCTTCCAACCTTCCAACATTTACAGCTGTAACTATGCCAGGCGCATCAGAGAATGAATTTCTTTTCCAGATAGGCTGCATAAGTTTTCCATTAAAAAAAGAATCTAACACACTTACCAACCTCATTTAACACAGAGGTAATGAAAGAAATAATAGTTCCCAGAGCACCAAGGCCAATTTCCAACAGGCAACCTGAGCCCTCATCCTGCAACACGCTCCGCGGAGACATCTGTTTGTACTCAGCTCAGTGCAAAGTTGTAATTTTAGCCATTAACATATATTTATCTCAAAAATAAGATGCTTTTCAAGTAACAGCTCTGCTTCAGTTCTGATGTAAGAAGCTGAAACTCCATAATACACCTGTTCTCCTTGGGGGAAAAAATGCAAGGCCAGTGTTCTGTTAGTATAGGTAACAGAAGAACAAAGAGGCCGTATTTAAGCAGACTGGCTTACCTACAAACATGTCAGTTTACCTTTTAGTACGTTTGCAGACAAAAAAGTTGGAAAAAAAAAAGTTTCTTGCTTCTCGAGCCCTTTTTTAGTCAACTAACAATACTGAGAATACAGAGAATTGCCCATTAAAATGGTAATGTAAAAAGACACTGATGCAACTCATTTAATAAAATTCTTAACAATGCACGTCTAATTTTAGAACGTTTTTCCACTCTGACTCACACACACCACACTCCAAAACTAATAAGAGGCCCAGAGACACTGACTTCTAAACGGGAACGGCTGTGATACAATGCAATTCAAATTTCTCTGAGAGGAAGTTTTCAGGAATTACTAAAAACAACCTGTCTGCGGTAGTTTCTTAGAAAGCATGGATCCTGCCTAACAAGAAGAACAGAGTTCAGCAGCATTGCTGACAAAATCTGATACCGATGGTCACGCTGTTATGAGGTTAAGCTGAAAAGCAAAAAACCAAATGCAAGCGACTGGTATTCGCTACGTTCGACAGCGCTAAATGTACGAAAAGTAAATCCATGGACTGTGCAACTGATCTTCCCTATACAGCACTTAATGTTCATTCCGTAAAGCTTTACGTCTACTACTTTATTGAATATATTTTGTAGGAACTGAAGTTTTAAGCTCCCTGAGAACTTGTGATGTGGAGCCCAACTCCCCTTTACAGTGCTTTCCCTCCTTCTCGGGGAGGCGTGGCGCTTATTTAAAACAAATCTTCCAAAGCCGAGGCTCGGGCAGTAATCCAAACTCCAGTTACCAGAACGTGTCTTGGATGAGCAATGAATTCAGTTCATAGCTGTTGTCTTCCAGTGCAAGACACTAAACACTTGCAATTAGGAAAAAAAAAAAATTAAAAAAAAAGCATCTGGAAAACAACCTGTCAACAGAAATGGGAGACAAAAGCTTTTCAAGGAGGGGATATTTTTTTTCTTCTTCATTCTTTTTTAACACTTCATTCTAATTAATTCCAGAAATTTATAAAAAGCAGCTTGCCCCACAAGGGGAACATTTTCCTCCATCTAAGTAGCAATCGCAACATGCTTAGCACCCCCTACCTACTTATATAGGAAAGGATCCAGAAGCCACAGCCTCCCAAGAACTTTTTGCAGCCTTGAGTACTGTAAAGACACAGTAAATTACGCTCCTCGGTTTGAAAACAAATACTGAAACAAACAAACAAGACGATTTTTATTTAATGGAAAGCATCCAGAGTGCAAGAGCACAGTAACTTTTTAAATGAAGATGCGAATAAAGCTGCATGCAATTATGTGTTTCAGAGCCTGCCACAGGAGCGACCTTCCCTGCGAGTCCGAGTTGGTGGTGACCGCTGGCATCCGCGCAACGCGAGCGCTCGCATCCCTCCCCAGCGAAAAACACCTCGCAACTCCGATGTTTCGTACTTTAAAAGAACGGCGTAATAAATATTAACAACCAAAGCTTAACCCTCGCCTCCCTACGGAGCAGAGCGAGGAGAGCGCGGGGGCGAAAGGGGGAGAGCGAGGAAGAACCGGAGCCGGGTACCTACCCGAACCAGAGCCCAGCGCGACCACCGGCAGCCCGGCCGCCCCAGACCTGCACGGCGAGG